TAGTAAGATTGATAAACCCCTGGCCAGACTTATCAAAAAGAAAAGAGAAAGGATCCCAATAAATAAAATCATGAATGAAAGAGGAGAGATCACAACCAGCACCTAAGAAATACAATTATGAAAACATACTATGGGCAACTATAGGTCAGCAAATTTGACAATCTGGAAGAAATTCATTCCTAAAAATGTATAAACTATCAAAACTGAAACAGGAAGCAATAGAAAACCTGAACAGACCCATAACCAGTAAGGAGATTGAAGCAGTCATCAGAACTCTCCCAACAAACAAGAGCCCAGGGCCAGATGGCTTCCCAGGGGAATTCTACCAAACATTTTAAGAATTAATACCTATTCTCCTGAAAGTGTTCCAAAAAACAGAAATGGAAGGAAAACTTCCAAACTCATTTTATGAGGCCAGCATTACCTTGATCCCAAAACCAAAGATCCCATCAAAAAGGAGAATGACAGAACAATAGCCTTGATGAACACAGATGTGGAAATTCTCACCAAAATACTAGCCAATAGGATCCAACAGCACATTAAAAGGATTATTCACCACGACCGAGTGGGTTTATTACAGGGCTACAAGGTTGGTTCAACATCCACAAATCAAACAATCAATATGATACAATACATTAATAAAAGAAAGAACAAGAATCATATGATATCCTCAATAGATGCTGAAAAAGCATTTGACAAAGTACACCATCCTTTCTTGATCAAAACTCTTCACAGTGTAGGCATAGAGGGTACATACCTCAATATCATCAAAGCCATCTATGAAAAACCCACGGCAAATATAATTCTCAATGGGGAAAAACTGAGAGCTTTTCCCCTAAGGTCAGGAATGCGGCAAGGATGTTCACTATCACCACTGCTATTCAATATAGTACTAGAAGTCCTAGCCTCAGCAATCAGACAACAAAAAGAAATAAAAGACATCTGAATCAGCAAAGAAGTTAAACTATCACTCTTTGCAGATGATATGATACTTTATGTGGAAAACCCAAAAAGACTCCACTCCAAAACTGCTAGAACTCATACAGGAATTCAGTAAAGTGTCAGGATATAAAATCAATGCATGGAAATCAGTTGCATTTCTACACACCAACAGCAAGAGAGAAGAAAGAAAAATTAAGGAGTCGATCCCATTTACAATTACACCTAAAACCATAAGATAGCTAGGAATAAACTTAACCAAAGAGGTAAAGAATCTGTACTCAGAAAATTATAAAGTATTCATGAAAGAAATTGAGGAAGACACAAAGAAATGGAAAAACTTTCCATGCTCATGGATTGGAAGAACAAATACTGTGAAAATGTCCATGCTACCTAAAACAATGTACACATTTAATGCAATCCTTATCAAAATACCATCAATTTTTTTTTCAGAGAAATGGAACAGATAATTCTAAAATTTATATGGAACCAGAAAAGACCCCGAATAGCCAGAGGAATGTTGAGAAAGAAAGCCAAAGTTGGTGGCATCACAACTCCGGACTTCAAGCTCCATTACAAAGGTGTCATCATCAAGACAGTATGGTACCGGCACAAAAACAGACACATACATCAAAGGAACAGAATAGAGAGCCCAGAAATAGACCCTCAACCCTATAGTTAACTAATCTTCAACAAAGCAGGAAAGAATGTCCAGTGGAAAAAAGACAGTCTCTTCAATAAATGGTGTTGGGAAAATTGGACAGCCACACACAGAAGAATGAAACTGAACCATTTCCTTATACCATACACAAAAATAGACTCAAAGTGGAAGAAAGACCTCAATGTGAGACAGGAATCCATCAAAATCCTTGAGGAGAACACAGGCAGCAACCTCTTCAACCTCAGCTGCAGCAACTTCTTCCTAGAAACATCACCAAATGAAGGGAAGCAAGGGCAAAAATGAACTATTGGGACTTCATCAAGATCAGAATCTTTTGCACAGCAAAGGAAACAGTTAACAAAACCAAAAGACAACTAACAGAATGGGAGAAGATATTCACAAATGACATATCAAATAAAGAGGTAGTATCCAAAATCTATGAAGAACTTCTCAAGCTCAACACCCAAAGAATAATCCAATCAAGAAATGGGCAGAGGACATGAATAGATATTCTGCAAAGAAGACATCCAGATGACACATGAAAAAGTCCTCAACATCACTTGGCATCAGGGAAATACAAATCAAAACCACAATGAGATACCACTTCACACCAGTCAGAATGGTTAAAATTAAGTCAGGAAATGATAGATGTTGGAGAGGATGTGGAGAAAGGGGAACCCTCCTATACAGTTGGTGGGAATGCAAGCTGGTGCAACCACTCTGGAAAACAGCATGGAGGTTCCTCACAAAGTTGGAAATAGAGCTACCCTATGACCCAGCAATTGCACTCCTGGGTATTTACCCTAAAGATACAAATGTAATGATCCGAAGGGGCACATGTACCTGAATGTTCATAGCAGCAATGTCCACAATAGCCAAGCTATGGAAAGAACCTAGCCATCAACAGATGAATGGATACAGAAGATGTGGTATATATACACAATGGAATACTATGCAGCCATCAAACGAAATGAAATCTTGCCATTTGTCACGATGTAGATGGAACTAGAGGGTATTATGCTGAGTGAAATAAGCCAATTAAAGAAAGACAATTATCACATGATCTCCCTGATATGAGGAGTTTGAGAGGCAGAGTTGGGGGCTTGGGAAGTAAGGAAGGAAAAAATGAAACAAGATGGGATAGGGAGGGAGAGAAACCATAAGAGACTCTTAATCTCACAAAACAAACTGAGGGTTTCTGGGGGTGGGGGGTAAGGAGAGGGTGGCTGGGTTATGGACATTGGGGAGGGTATGTGCTATGGTGAGTGCTGTGAAGTGTGTAAGCTTGATGATTCATAGTCCTGTACCCCTGGGGCAAATAATATATTATATCTTAATAAAAACAATAAAAATAAATTAAAAAAAAACAAAGAAAATACTTTCCCCTCCTTTATCTCTTTCTGGAGCTCCCAATTGTTATATATGAGCTTCCCAGTTGTGACTCTACACTTTGTGTTCCTTCTCTCCAACCACCCATTTCACTGTTTTGTTTTTTCTTTTGGTTTCTGGAAGGTTTCTTCATTTTTTCCATTTCAAGTCATTTCCTGACTTTTAGAATTCCTGTGATCATATTTTTTATCTAAAGAGCTCTTCCTTAACCCAATTGCCCCTCCTTTACAAACAGCATGTTGTTCTTTCACGGATGCAAACATCATCTTTTAATTTTGAGGAGATCAATAATCATCGAAGCTTTTTTTTTTTTTCTTTCTGCTGACTGCATTAGTCATTTCTTCTGAGTCTGTTCCTTCTCCCCCAGTTATTTTGGATCCCAACTTCCATGTTAGAGGCTTCCCTAAAAAGTTTAGTAATTGCTGTGCTTTCTTATTAAAGATGGAACACTGAGATGGAGCTACTTGGAAGAGGGTCCGTTGGGTGCTGGGCTCCTCTGGAGGGTGACCAGATGGCGAGCCAGTGATTTTACTGGAAGTCCACAAATGTGAGACTCTAGGTCTTTTCTCTAGGATGGTTTAATTTCCCCAGAGAACATTCTCCAGCCTCCTACTTAGGAAGGGTTTAAGTTCTAGCTGTTTGACTTCTGGAGCTGAGCAGGAGAATGCACTTCTGGGGACCACAGAGAGGTGGCAGTGGTCCAATGAATAGCTCAGTATACAGATTTTCACCTGAACCTATTCTCCGACCCAAGCTTCATCCCAGCCCCTGTGAATCATATTTCCTAATTCAGAGTCTCTCTGGCTCAGTTTATCCAGGGATTTCCCCCCACCCCATCTCTTGTCTTTAAATAAGGGAGAGCTAATTGCTTGCCTGTGCTGGTTGAGCTGGGAATGTGACATTCTATGTCAGTCATATTCCTCATCTCACTCTTGCCTCTGTGATAACTACTACCTCCAATTCCTGAGCCTTTCTGAGCTCTGCCATGGAATCAGCTTGATTCTCATCCTCTCTCTGCAGGTACTTTGGCTCAAGCTTCTCCACTCTGTGAGGCCACATGCTATTTCCTCATTTCTGTCCTGTACTCATGTAGCGGGGCTCAAGGGCACAGATGCCTCCTGCTTTATCTGGAATAGGAGTATGCTTCAGCTTTGTGTTTCCTATTGTTTCCTGGATGGTTTCCAATAAGAAAGGATTCAAAAGCCTTTATTCTGTCACCTTAAAACCAGAAATCCATTTTTTCCACTTATTCATGGACATCTCAAAGAGGTGGATTTCAATACCCCCAGTGTACAGAAGGGGAAATTAAACTTGAAACTGTAATTCAGTGAGACCATTTTCTAAGGAGCTATCCTGAACTAGGAAGAGATTCAGGGTCTGAACAGACACAGATGTTTCTTGGCCCCAAGCAGGTTCAGGTGGCAGATCTGATGATATAAGGAAGTCATTAGATAGAGCATAAAGACTGCTATAACTGGGGAAGACAGTGTGTTGTGACAGTCGTAGTGGGAGTCCCAGCTCCTGAGGGAGCAGGAGCAAAGGCCTTCTGGGAAAGTAGAAGGTAGGAGATGGACAAAACCTGCTCCTGCTGGATTACACATCATGGTGCACTTGACCTTTTTGTCCCAACTTTCCAACTTGCCCTCTCTGTTTTTGTCTCCCAGGCGAGTCCGACCCCCCAGCATGCATCGCACACAACATTGCCCAAGTCATAAAGCTGTTTTTATGTTATCAAGATCACATAGAAACAGGGAGACGCGGTACAAGTAGCCAAACAGACCTAAGTGTGAATCCTTGCATGGCCATATCCTAGCTGTGTGACCCTGAGCAACTTACTGAATCCCTCTGAGCATTTTTCCTCATCTGGAAGAAGGGAATGTGATAATAGTGACCCTGGAAGATTCATGTAGGGATTAGAGATCATGTACAAAATGCACCCTGTCTAGCACATGACAGATGCTTCCACGGCAAGGGCTCAGTAAGTAGTGGACTTCCTAATTCTCCACCTTACCTTGAGTTCTTGATTTTTGGCCTTCTCAAGCGTGCGCAGGGCTCGCTGGTGGGAGGCCTCCAGCTGGGCTTTCATGGCCTGGTTCTGCTGAATGGTCTCCTGGAGCTCATGCTGCAGCTTCTCCCTTTCGTGGTCGGAGAGTTGCTTGAGCTCCTGCAGGTCCTCCCTGTAGGTGCTGGCGCACTGCTCCAGAGCCTGCTGCATCTGGGAGACCTGCCCCCCCCATGGCATCCTGCCCTCAGGGTGCGCCCTCTCCCTCCCCCTTCCCTTCCTGAGGGACTTGAAAACAAGTAAGTGCACTGGATATCTCCTCAACCCAGCTGAACCTCCTCTATCTGAGGGAACTCTGAAGGGGAGTGCTGTAACTTTGAAAAACCCCTGTGATGGCCAGTCTTCTGGGGGCTTCTCAGCTAGAGCCACGAATGTCAGGTCAGAAGGGCAGATGGGTTGAGATGCAAGCCATCCAACACATTGAAGAGGAGACCCCTAAAGCCTTCCCTGATAACTCCCTTGAGTATTACACCCACTCCCCCATGACCAGATAGCCTCTCAATCCTTTTGACCTTGTTCTGTTTTTCCTTTTTCCTAAAAACTGATCATCCTCTAATATGCTATATGCTTTACTTCTTTCTTATGTTTGGTATTTTGGGTCTGTTCCCACTTCCTCTGCTATAATACAAGTGCTGTAATGCAGGAATTTGCCTGGGTTTGTTCACTAATGTACCCCAAGTTTCTAGAAGGCTCCTAGCTCATAGGAGGTGCTCATGGGCCACAGGAGTTATTAAATAAATGAATGAATACAGAGAATCAAGAATCCTACCTTGTCCTGACCTGGAATGCCCTCCCAGCCCAGACATGAATCAGGTTCTGTATGTATTTCCGACATTGTCTGGAAGGAGGAGAAGGAGGCGGGGTTCCACCAGCAGGAGGGCATCTCCCCACCATGGCTGTCCTACCTGGGCCTGCAATCTAGCCTTCTGGCTTTGCCACTCTTCCTGTAGACGCTGGATTTCTGGCGCCTTCTCCTTCAGCAAAAAGTGCAGTGGGGGTTGCAGGTCACTTCCCTCCTTAAGGGGCACTTCAATCCTTTGAAGACAGAGAGGTGCAAATCACAAAAGATCCAGGGCTGGGAATGACATGACCACCTGGGGCTGGGAGAAGGGAGTTCCCATGGCAGGGATCGGGGTGAGAAGTATCTTCCTTGGATTTAAGAACGTAACCTGACACACAGTTCTAAGTGTTACTGCACAATTAGGATTCAGCTGGAGCCCAAAGGTATTAGTGGGTGCTTAATGATTGGCTGTTAAAACGACTGAGAGGGGCACCTGGGTGGCTCAGTGGGTTAAGCCTCTGCCTTCATCTCAGGTCATGATCCCAGGGTCCTGGGATCAAGCCCCGAATCTGGCTCTCTGCTCAGAAGGGAGCCTGCTTCCCCCTTCTCTCTGCCTGCCTCTCTGCCTACTTGTGATCTCTGTCAAATAAATAAATAAAATCTTTAAAAACAAACAAACAAACAAAAATGGCTGAGAGCTTGGAGTTGGTTATGGGGCTTAGTTAGTCCTTGGGGCTCTGAAAAATAGGCCTCTCTGAATTAAAAATAGAGCTTCCCTATGACCCTGCAATTGCACTAATGGGTATTTACCCCAAAGATACAGATGTAGTGAAAGAAGGGCCATCTATACCCCAATGTTCATAGCAGCAATGGCCACAGTTACCAAACTGTGGAAAGAACCAAGATGCCCTTCAATGGACGAATGAATAAGGAAGATGTGGTCCATATATCCTATGGAGTATTATGCCTCCATCAGAAAGGATGAATACCCAACTTTTGTATCAACGTGGACAGGACTGGAAGAAACTATGGTGAGTGAAATAAGTCAAGCAGAGAGAGTCAATTATCATATGGTTTCACTTATTTGTGGAGCATAAGAAATAACATTGAGGACATGGGAGATGGAGAGGATAAGGGAGTTGGGGGAAATTGGAGGGGGAGATGAACCATAAGAGACTATGGACTCTGAAAAACAATCTGAGGGTTTTGAAGGGGCGGAGGGTGGGAGATTAGGGGAGCCTGGTGGTGGGTATTATGGAAGGCACAGATTGCATGGAGCACTGGGTGTGGGGCATAAACAATGAATTCTGTTACACTGAAAAGAAATTAATTAAAAAAAAGAGGCCTCTCTGGTCTAAATTCACAACACTTCCTGCAGATGAAAAAAAAAGTGAAATAATAATACTTTACTTGAATACAGTGCTTGACACTTTTCAAAGCAGGCTCATGCCTTTGACTGGCTGTCCCAGGGATACACTGCAGGGTTGCACACAGGTTTTTATGGATAGAGCATGAATGAGAAGATGATGGCTTAAAGCTACAGTGGTTTCTTCTGTATTCTAGCACAGATGCTCATGGATCTTTTTGGAGGACACCTTCCCTTACCTAGAGCTGAACTTTTGAACCAGGTGAGAAATTCAAATATAACTGGTTGAGATGGGGATTTTAAATATTTGTCCTGTGTAGTGATGTAAAAGGGTGCCACACAGTAGGCATCTCTGCAGAGTTTGCTGGAATGTCAGTGGTGTTTTCTTCCTACGCTTAATTTTTCTTTAAAAAAAAAGATTTATTTATTTATTTGAGAGAGAGAGAGAGACACAGAGAGAGAGAGAGAGAGAGAGATTAAGAGCATGTGCTGTTGGAGGGGAGGGGCAAAGAGAGAAGGAGAGAGAAACTCAACCGGACTCCACACTAAGCACGGAGCTCAGCGCAGGGCTCAATCTCACGACAGTGAGATCCTGAGCCAAAACCAAGAGTCAGACTGTGCCACCCAGGTGCCCCAGTGTGTGCTTAACTTTTTACAAAATCATCAAACGGTTTTCTGAGGTACTACCCCATGTTATGCTCCTACCAGCAACGTATGAGAGTTTCAGTTGCTCCACAGCATAGTCAACATTTTGTGTCTTCAGTACTTTTAATTTTAGTCATTCTGGGGGGTATGAAATGGTATCTCACTGTAATTTTAAGTTGCATTTCCCTGCTGACTCTGATGTGAAGTGCATATTCATGTCCTTATGTGCCATTCTTTATTTGCAAGTGTGTTCAAGCATTTTGTCCATTTAAAACTATATTTGTCTTTTCTATTATCGGCTGATAGCAATTCTTTATATACTCTGGATGCAGACTGGATAACTTTTTCCAACCTGTGATTTGTTTATTCATTTTCTTAATAGTATTTTTTAATTAGCAGAAATTTTAATTTTGATGAAGATCAATTTATCAACTTTTTTCTTAGATGATTAGTGCTTTTATGTCCTAAAAAAATTATCATGTACCCCCAAACTGCAAAGAGGTTCTCCTATGCTTTATTGTTTTACATTATATATTTAGAGTTAGTTATTATACATGGGGTGAAGTTAGGGTTGAAGTTCATTTTTTTTCATATGTTGATTCAGTTACAACACCATTTGATGAAAAACTCTTCCTATTACCACTGAATTGCCTTGGCACTTTTAACAAAAATGAATCCAACATCTTTTGGTGGGTCTATTTCTGGACACTCCATTATTTTTCATTGATCAACTTGTTTATTTATATATTGATACCACACAGTCTGTATTATTCTAGCTTCATAATGTCTTGAAATCAGGTAGCCTGAGTCTTCTGACTTGACTCTTCAAGGTTCTTCTTTTCTTTTTCTAGGTCCTTTGCTTTTCCACTTCAATATTGAAAACAGCGTATTTCTTTCTACAAATAAAGCTGCTAGGATTGTATTTGGGATTGAACTGAGTCTATAGTTCAATTTAGAGTAATGTCTTAACACCATTGAGTATTTCAATCTTATCATTCTGTCTGTAAATAAGACATTTTTTACTCTTTTTTTCTCATTTGTAGCTCTTTTTCTTGCTTTATAGGACAGGCCAGGACAGTGTTAAATAGTGAGAGCAGAATGTTTGCCTTGTTCCCAATCTTAGGAGGAAAGTGTTCAACATTTCACCAGTAGGTATATTGCTGTAGTTTATCATGATTATCTTTTCAGGTTGAAGAACTTCCCTGCTATTCATGGACTGCACACTTTTTATCATGAGAGGATGTTAACTTTTGTCAAATGCTTTTCTGCACCTGAGATGATTATTTACTTTTTCCCTTAATTTTTTAATGGGCTAATTCACATGAATGCTATTCACATGTTAAGCCAACACATTTTTGGGGAAATCCTACTTGATCACGATGTACTATCCTTTTTATATATCCTTTGATTTGATTTCCAAATATTTTGTACAGGATTTTGCATTCAGGAAGAATGCCCATTTGTTATTTTCTTTTCTTTTAAATGTCTTCATTAGGTTTTGGTACCAGTTATGCTGATCTCATAAAACAAATTAAGGGGTATCTACACTCTTTTTCTGAAAGAGCTTATGTAAGACTACTATTATTTCTTCTTTGAAATAGTTGATAAGAGGCCCCTGGATGACTTAGTAGGTTAAGTATCCAACGCCAAATTTCAGCTCAGGTCATGATCTTGAGGTCCTGGGATGAGCCCCACATCAGGCTCTGCACTCAGCCGGGAGTCGGCTTGGGATTCTCTCTCTCCCTTTTCCCCTCCCCCTGCTTATGCTCTCTCTCTCTCTCTCAAATAAATAAATCTTTGAAAATAAAATAAAAAAATAAAATTGTTGATAAAACTCACTAATGACATCAACTGGGGCTGGAGTTGTCCTTTAGATAATTTTAAAAATTAATTTATTTTCTCACCATAGCACATATCCTCCCCAGTGTCCATCACCCAGCCATGAGTTACTTATATTTTCCATTTCTTCTAGTGCCATTTTTGGTAAGTTGTATTTTTCAAGGAATTTGCTTTTTGGTGAAATCACTGATAAAAAGATTGTTCATAGAATTGCCTTATTTCCCTTTAATATCTATAGAATCTATAGGGATGTCCCTCTTTCATTCCTCTTTCTTGTTTTCCCTAATCATTCTTAGTTTGAGTATATAATTTTCTAGAACTAATTTTTTGTTTTCTCAGTTTTTTCTATTAGCCCATTTTCTATTTCATGGAGTTCTGCTCTTACCTTTCTTTCCAATTTAATTTAATATCTTTATTTTTAATATCTTTATCTTACCTTCTTTATATCTTTATTTAAAATATCTTTATTTTACCTTTACCTAATAAGATCTTTATTTTACCTTCTAATTTTACTTAATATCTTTCCTTCCAGATTTAATTTCCTTATCCTTTTCTAATTTCTTAAGACAAAAACACAGATAATTGATGTTAGAGCTTTCTTTTTAAAGTAGGAGTATTTAAAGCTATGGATTGCCTTCATTAGCTATCTCTCCCAAAATCTGACATGTCCTATTATCATTGAATTTGAAGTAGTTTCTCATTTCCAATGTGATTTTATTTTTTGGCTAATAGATTATTTAGGAGTATTCTGTAGAAGTTCCAAATATCTGAGGATTTTCTCAATAGCTTATTATTCTGGATTTCTTACTTTAAAAAAATTTATTTATTTACTTGAGAGAGAGAGCTAGCATGAGCAGGGAGCCGGGGCAGAGGGAGGAGCAGAAGCAGGCTCCCAGCTGAGCAGGGAACCTGACATGGGGCTCTATCACAGGACACTGGGATCATGACCTGAGCTGAAGGCAGACGCTTAGCCAACTGAGCCACCCAGGAGCCCCTTATTCTGCATTTCTAACTTAATTTTTTTGTGGTAGACAGAGTATATTTCAGAGAAGATTCCAGTCCTTGAAACTTATCAAGATTTATTTTGTGGCCCTACATTGGAGAAAGTACTATGTGCCTTGAAAGAAGATCTGTTCAGCATTGTTCAGACCATTGTTTACAAATGTCAGCTAGATTAGGTTAGCTGATAGTGTAACTCAAATCTTCTGTATCCTCACTGCTATTAGGCTAGTTGTCCAAATCCTCAGAGAAAGGTGTCACAATCTCCAACTGTGGCTGTGGATTTCTCCCTTTCATTCTCTCACTGTTGGCTTCATTATTTTTAAAGCTCTGTCATGAGGTCAAACACATTGACACATCCAAGATCAAGGTGTCAGATTTGCTTTTTTTCTGAGGCTTCTCTTC